ATGGCTTAGTTGCTTATTCTTCAGCATAATTTGATGTCAGAAAGAGGACCTAAGTGTCTAGTGAGAGACACATGTCCACCAAAAAGTGAAAAGTACCACTTACCTTGAAATCAGTGGCATGAGGTTCAGTCCTCTTAAGTGGATAAAGAAGCCTGTTAGTATAATTATTTCTGTTGTTCATACTGCACTAGGAAGGAAACAGAATTCCCTTAATTGCACAGTAAGTCACTGTATGTCTTAGCTTACAGTTTTAACATATGTTTACAGTAACCAATGTAGAAGTACAATGAAAGGCAAATTTATTTGAGCTAAGAACTACTTAAGCCCAGCTACTCAAATTGCAACAGTATTCCTAAATTTTTCCGGGATGTGTGTTGGAGGGGTAAGGACAGGAAAATAAAGAAAACTGAACAGTAAAAAAACTAAAACATAGTACAAAAGCTAATGATTTCCAGCAAATGATCAAATCCTACTGCACATTCCTATTCCTTTTTCCCTCTCCCTCCCTAAGCTTTTTGTTTTCCACACTTTGAGCAGAAAATTAGAATTCAAGAGCCTGAAATTTCATTACATATAGCAGGTAAACTAACCTATACCTAGGAATGCCAAGGGACTTTCATGCTTGCTACAACCTGTCTGCTTCCTAGAAAATCTACATTAACGACAATAGCAGACCCACCTTCCTGTCCAAAGGAAAATGCTAAAATTTTGTATATCACCAGGAGCACTTAGTTTCGGACTTTTGAAGTTCATCTTACGGAGTTCATAAAGTACTTTGAAATGTTCCTTTATAGATAGCCATTAATTTACAACATCACAGTATGGAAGTGAAACGATCTTGGGTCAAATGCCAGCTCTGTGATAACCTGCTTTATGAAACCACAAGTCAATGGCTCTTTCATTTGTTTATTGTTTGGTATTCCTAGCACTGAACTAGATTAGCTCAGAAAACTACACAAAGTGTTAGGACTGGTTACAATTTTGTTCCTCAAAGCAATTATATTGCTTTACGACCATCGTAACAATACAGTACTTATCTTCAGCACTGAAGGATTTTTAATTATTTTTAGAACAATACAGTTAAATCTATACAGCCATGGGATTTAGAAACGTCAAGAATCACAGATTTTGTAAGTTTTGTTTCTGATTTTGACACTTGTGCCTAAATTGCTATTTAACCATTTGTTAAATAAGTTACCAATTACTGATGATACTTACAAAAGCAACTGCAATGTTTACCATGCTGTCAGGCACTAAGTTTTGGATTAATTACTGTATGGTATTTCAGAGTGTCTGTTATCCTCTAATTTAAACCTGTAATTTATGGAAGCTAATACAAGGAGATAGTCCCACATTCACTATTGTAACTTCATTGTAAAGAATCCAATAAATAAAAAAAAAAAAAAAAAAACAAAACAATTTTTTTACTCTGGCAGTTAAAGAGTAAAATTGCCTCTCAGGAGCACACTCAGACTGCAGTGCACCTTGATGGTCCATCTTCATTATGCGTTGTAATAAAACAATACACTTTGGTAAGAAAACAGCAGTAACACTAAGATTGCAGGTTTTTCAGAAGCCTGGAGGAGAACCATCTATATTATTCTCCTAATTTAATCATAATAGTTTTTCAGTAGCCAGGAACAAAACAAATAGGTAAGAGTCAGATGTCCCAATTTTACTTTTACCTGCATTTACTGGCAAATTTGAGTATTTTCCTACTCTTTGTTGTTGACATGCTTATGGACAACATCCACGCAGCTAAATGCAGTTGTAAACAAAGGAACTGTAAAAAAATTAACTGCAAAATGCATCACACTTTCTTGTACAAGCTTAAGTCTCCCAACATATTTTCATCTTAAAATAGTCAAAATAAAAACCCAATATGCTGCTTTTCTTTGAAAAACAATAGTTCAAAGTTTATTGTTCTTTGGAAAACATCTTTCCCATTTGAGTGTTTGGCACCCTGCCAGCTTCACTTGATTAGCTCAGCTGGATCAACAAGCTCAAATAGAAAGTGGCACTAAGACTTCTAAGCACACAGTGTACGACTTTTATACTATAGTAACTTCAGCCACTGCTATTATTCCTTGGAGGACTATTGAGAGGACTTTCTCTCCTGGAGAGATGGTAATTCTGGCAAAAGAATGGGAGAGCTATCACATAGTGCCTTTCATCTGAAGTGTCATCTGCTGACTGCACAGACAGCTAGGTGATTCTCTACCTGTATATTTGGTTCAGAGTTTATCTCCAGAGTAATCCTTTATGTTATCAGCCCAAACATCAGAAATAGCCATGTCATCTTAGACCAGCCAGAGTTGATGATGCAAGTATGACAGCAAGCATAAGGGCAATATCCAAATGAAAGTCTGCAATTATTCTGAAGACAGCCTCTCATAATACCTACACAAAAGTGAAGGCTTATCCAGAGACTTGAAGAAATGCTAAGTTAGTGGATTCCAGACAGAAAAAAGACCAGTACAGTGAGTTTGATAGCAGAGTCAAGGTACTCACTTTTTTCTTGTCTTATAACTGTGGTTTGGTTGAGGACTCATCTAGCTGTCTTATCTCTTTGGATTAGTAGGCTGGAGGAATAGGAAAATCCTCAAGGAGCCCCAAGCTACTTTGTTCTGCAACTGATTTATATCCTCTAATCATCCTAAGTGGAATTTTCTTTGTCTGTTTTGCAGGCTGAGCCACTGCTCCAGGGCATGACAGGACCTGCACCTACTCTTCATAAACATTCTAAAATGTCTTGTGCAGAGCCTATTATATTAAAAAAACATCACCCACCCTTAAATCCAAATCTAATTTCAGTTGAGCTGCTGATGAATTTAGGTTCAGAATAAGCATCCACTACAGCAACACTACCAGGCACTAGTGATCCTGGTTTTCAATTAATCCTTTAAAATTTATATGTTAACATTAAACAGCACTGCACTATAAGGGCTCTGCTACTTTCCAGGTCATGCAAGAGAAATCAGATTTAGTTTAGTATTTTTCAAACCACGGAAACTAGTTCTTTGGAAAGTTTCTGTTAAAACATTTAATCAGTAACAGTCTTTTCGTATTAATGAAAACATTTTTTAAAAGCATGTTACCTGAAGCAAAACTTTCCAGGAGAGAACCAGAAAGATGTTTTCATGGGAACTTTTTATTTAAGACAAATTTAAAATGATATTTCAGAATTTTGAAATATTAATATTTTGTGGTTTTTTTACACTATCCTAGGAAACAAGTAATATACTTGGTTTCCTAGAAAATATATTAAAAAGGAAATATATTAATAAGGAAAATATCACAAAAAAATCTGTATATCACATAAAATGCTGTAACTACAGAAAAAGAAAAAAGCTCATTCATTATCAAAATTTCAAAGCGAACTTGGTGATGAGGTCCCAGGTTCTTTTATCTCTATCAATGGACAGTTTAACTATTTGTTAGGCTGAAAATGAACAAGTAATAATAATAAAGCAGGACATGCAGTCTTCCCGATCTGATTTGTGTTAAAACCAACAAGCATGAAATTAAATTAGAAGTTATACTTCATGTTTTATAACATGTATGTCTAAAAATATCAGGTAGTAAAAATGAAAGGTAATATCCAAATGTAAAACCTATCTTAAAATTATTCCAATTTTGAATTGGGAATTTAGACAACAACATAAATGTTCTTAATATTCTGATTTTAAAAGCTTTTTTTTCCCAGTACAACTAGCCGCTTTCCATTAGGTCTTAGGCATATACAGATTTTTCACTGTTTTTTTATTACTTTGAGAAATTTTCCTCTCCACAATTCACAGTTCTGTAGGCCTTCTCCAGTCAAAAGCCTCAGTTCATCTGAGTTCATCATCACTTCATCTTTCTATCATCTTTAATTAGGTGAAGGAAACAGAACTAAATAGTAATAAGATATAAATGGTGTTTAAAAGCTGAAATAATATTTCAATAACAATAGAAATGTTCCAAAAATTTGTTCATTTTAAGTTGAAGTTGTAAACTGATTACAAGGAGATCTAAAAGTCTCAGCAAATAATTCTAAAACACATCATTAATGCAGTAACATTGCAACATTTCACAAAAGTTCGTATCTTCCACTAGGAGCACCATCAGATCACTTTCTATTATAACTTGATAAAATCTCAGATCAAGCAGCTTACTTTCTGGGAGAGACTCTCTTGATTCGTTCAGGAGGCTGATAACCCCAGGATTGGTGTATCTTTAGGCATCTCAGTTTAACATCTGAATTTCAGTGAGAGGAATCCCAGCAGAATTTCTCATTGCAACACGGTTCAGAAACAGATCTTAAGGAATCATAATTATACAGGTCTCAATAAAATTGCCTTCCTCAAAGTCTTTACTTTAAAAAAGAAATAAAGTAAAAAAAGTTATTTAAAAATCACATGGTGCAGCAAATATTATGCTAATAACATTTTGCATCTATTAGAACACTTTTTTAACCTTCTCTGTATTTCTCTGTTTAGGCTAACTTTCATTTGAGAGGAATGGTAAAACTCTGGCAGTCAGAAAAGAATTCAAATTTTTAATAGTGTAATGTTAAAATATTGTAACAGTAATATATAACATGATCCTAAAAAGTGTAAATTTCTCATGCCTTGAGTCAAATAAAGTTATTAGTGTTAGTGTGAATCTTTAGATTCAGTCCATACATTTTTTTATAATGTAGAGCAGTGTGTCCCAACAAAAATGCTGTAATGTGGATCAGTTCATCTGCCACTCATTTCACACTGTAGCATTTTAGTTTGATTGGTATCTTATAAATAATAAAGCTGATATTATTTCTCTCTATCGTTAGCGTGCTTCTGAAGTTATTGAGTTGTATTACTGTGGAGTCTGCTGCATTTATAATCTGCAAATTATAAATAAGATCACTGCAAAAGCAATACAGGTTCTAGGCACCAAAATTAAAGCAAGTTTCATTTCTTAGGAGTACAGAAGATAAACATTTTGAATATAATTATCCCCTTTTCCCCCTATTTCAGACATCTGTGATTAGAGGAACCTACCTCGGCCTAGAATACATGAGAAAAGGAAATGGAGGTGATGGAGGAGTAATCATTAATATCTCATCTTTGGCAGGTGAGCATATTTTCTATGTAAACACTTTCTACTCACTGGTTTGTTTCTAAAATAAGTGCATCATACTGAAGCATCAGTTATACTTCTCTTTTATGGCTCTTCTCTGTTTATTCCCATTTTGATTTGGTTTTCATCATAGCAACAGAAATAATACCAAAGGACCACTCCTTCATTTGCTTTTATTTAAACTCTGTTCAATGAAAAATTCAGGATTTTTCCAAACCTATCAGTCTCATACTTAAAAATCTAAAGCATGATATAAAGAGAGGGTTTTTCAGGATTCAATACTGCCACACATTGAGGAAAACCTAACTGGCCTCAATTCACCATGCTTATTCAACACTACTAAATAACACTGCTGAATCAAAAGATAATGTACACCACACCGTGTATAAAAAATGAACTCTAATGTATAGACCTAATTAAATACAGGGTTACTTTAAATCTGATTTTTTTCTATTATGAAATTATCAAACGTGAAAAATCAGATAATCTTTTTTTTCACAGAAAGGGAGAAAGCAATAGGACGTCCTCCATTCAACTCCATAGGAGCACAACTGTAGGAATACTTAAGATTAGACTGTGTCTACTTTATTAGTGAAGATTGTCATATTTCATCAAGCTTAAGCAAGAACATTCTTTTCTCACTACTTATCTATGTTAGAACTGTATTTCATTTTATTGGAATAAAAATAGAATACATGCTTTTTAAGTCAGTCAGGATTATTGCTGCTTAGTCATGAGGCAGAATTCTGCATCCTTTCCTGTAGGTATGCTCAACATTGCAGTGGCTGGGCTCATAGCAAAAAAGCACACCTGAAGGGCAAATGAATGGAGAAGGATGCACCTGACACCCTTCCTCAAAAAATGTGTAGGGTAAAACCTGTATATTCTCTTCTTTGTTTGAAGAGTTTGTTTTCTCTTGCTCCTGTCATACTGTCTGGAAAAAAACAATACATATGTTAGCTTACACATGGACTGTCAGTGTTCTCTTTGATATACATGCAGAATACCAAATGATAGTAACCTTATTCTAGGTATTCCTGTGTGTTTTAACAATGAAAAAACCAGTAAAACAGAAGCGGACATAGTTCCTGATTGTGGATAGATGTGAATGTTCCAAGTAGTATTAAATTCTTCTGTAAACCTTAGCTTTTGCTTTTGCAATGAGAAGTCCAGTAAACCCTATTGATATTATGCATGTCGATCTTGAGGATCTGACTTAATACATGCACATATCTCATATGGACAAGGGGGTCTTTATAAAGCCTCCATATACCTTTAAGCCAGCACTTGCAATACTGCCTAACACACTACTTACTGATGCCAGTAAGTTCATCTCTGTTGATTCAAGTAGACATTGTATTGGAACCAAATTAACCCGAAGGAAACTGCTATTGCAGTACAAGAGTTCATCAGCACAAGTAAAAGATTAAACGTTTTCACAGAAGTGCAGATGCCCATGCTGTGCCTAAGAAAGGTCAGAGGTAGCAAACAGTTTGACTCCTTTTCTAACTAGTCTCAAATGAACACAAAATGATTTTAAGGCTGTTTTCAGTTTGTTAAGAAAGTGCTGTTTTAATTATTTGATTAAAATTTGCATTTATTTGCTTCCCTTTTTTTAACATTAACATTGTGCCATAATGATTGTGGTTATCTGTCAAAAACAAAGTGTTCTCTGCTATGTTTCTTTTCACATGGCTTGTATTTAGCAATTGTTTCCAAGGTCATAAAGAAAAGCACATTATAAAAGCTGACATACACTATTTTGAATAGTTTATTTATTTGCTACAGTTTGTGCTTTGTGACTCTAATTCTTCTTTTCAATCTGAAGGTATAAGTCTTGCATTTTATTCTATATATAAAATAAAACCTGCCATTAGCTTGCTTAACGTTACTTTTGAGTGTTTTCTCAGAGCTAGCTTCTGTTGATCATTAAACTTTTGAGTGGTTTTGATTCCCCCATTCCAAGTTCTCTATAAGATTTTTATGAGATACAGTTTGCAGACAGCAAATATTCTAGTGTCCTGCAGAAGCGCAAGAAGAGTTATATTTAGTGCTTACATAACATTCAGTATATTTGCTTTACACATTAATTAGTTTCCAGTTCTTCACCATGGGAATTTTGCCAATGATTTCAACTGGGGACAGAATTATGCCTTACTGGTTTGTATTATTTCCAAACTGCCACAGAATTACTTAAATACTTCCTATGAAGTGGATGCTTAAATTGTTCATTCAGCTGGATGGAGGCCAGAGCGTCAACCCTTTCCAGTACTGAATTTTCCCCCCTTCAGTGTCTCCACAAGACAGGACTAATCAAGAAAGGGAGAGAAATATGCGAGCACATGCAGCAAGCACCCAACTCCTAACCCACTGCATCTCAAAGCTATAAAAATGTCTTTATTTTATGGAAATTTGTGCATTCATTTCAAGAGGAAGTCATGCTGCTAAACAGCTGAGATAATGGGAAATGTACATTACTGCCAACTTTTCCTCATAAAAGATAATGCCAATGACCACAGGTTTTTGCATTGTAGTAAACTCCATTTCAAATTCAAAGAGTAAAATGACTTAAAATTTCTCCAGTAGGAAGCTGCACATTAATTTTACTTTTAACAGAATACTTACAACCAGCAGAAAAAAGCACATAAAACTAAATGAGATTATTTACATGATTAAGTTTAACTTAGTCTCTTACCTTTTGGTGGCTGGTACCTGTATACTTCTAGTAAGTAAAGGGGAAAAGAACTCGTGTATGCATGTGCTTTTGATAGCTTTCATGTTTTCAAGAAGGTATTCTGTAAAACTGAATTTGTATCTGTCTGGATTCTAGCAGGTAAAATCAAATCGAAGTATTCATAGGTGTCTTAAAAATTGGAACAACTCTTAATATAAGATCACACTAGGTTTTTTGAGAGGTTGTTCCATGTGTAGTGTATCTGGATAACTTCCTGTTGTAGAGCCATATCTGCAGTTTGATTGCACTCAGTTTCAAGTACTCGGGCTTCACAAGCAGCCATTTGTCCTCCTCCTATGGAAAGCTTCAGGCAAAAGAAATACTTAATGTACCCCTCACAGCAAGCAGTCTTCTTTAGGACCTGGTTCTATATATATTACAAGAACAGAGCTAAGCATGTGGTTAACATCATTGAGTAAAGGCAAGACCTTATCACAGTGATACAGTGGAGTAAAGGTATAAATGGCTATATAGCTGGGGCCTTTAGCTCAGCATCATGTGAAAGCTTCTGGTGTCCATTCCCCCACCTCCCAACCTTCGTAAAAAGGAGGATCCCGAGCAGTATCCACAGAAATGAGGTTAGGAAATGTAGAAATTATTCCCTTGAGACTTCAGTTCATGTTAAAAATAAATTCCTAGAAATGACACAGCTTAAAATTTTTGCAAGGATTTCTGTGTCTCCTTTGTTTTGACACAGATCACAGCAGTATAAAACTGACACAGTGAACATGATCTTGTACGCCTCCCTGTTCTTAAGAATAGAGTATGATATACAAACCCCTTTAATCAATTCTGTCATCGCTCTGTAGGACTATCATGCTCCGAGCTGCTTTCTCTAGTTACATATCCGCTTCTTCAAAAGCAGGTTTCTCCTTTAAAGAACATTGTAAGCATATTCCATACTCTGTATCCAGGCTTTTGCTTAAGGGCAACAGAGGAGATTTCTGTAATGTGGTTTGGAAACACATTTTATTTAAATAAATACAGTTAAATCTTGTGATGTTCCTTATAAGTATTCTATGTTTTGCAATAGGCTTTGATAAGTATATTTTATAAACCAAATCTAATACAGAAAACAAATTAATTTGGCAATATTTTTCAGGACAGAGGAAAGCACAGTTTTGGTTTGCTTTTAAATAAGTTCCATCAGTTAACCAAACCTTTCCAGCATTTTCATATATCTCTTTCATAAACAAGGAAAAATTTAGAATTTTAGGATGCTATTTGGCACTGATATTCATCACATTAGTGAGAGAACATTTAAATATTTAATGGAATATTTAAATGTTTTTACAGTGAATATATTTTTCTAAAGTATAACTGGGAATAGAGCCTAATCACTGCAAAATCATAGTGTAGAAGCAGTGTTTTCTGATGAATCCAAAGCCTCCAGGAAATCAACAGCCAAGTTAGAAAACAGACTATGGTTCTTCATTCTGTGTGCCATACTCATGCAACATGAAGTACACTCTTCCAACAATTAATGAAATTTAAATATACTATTTCTGTTTACAGACATTACATTTGTCTCAAGCTGCCTAACAGTGCAACCATGGAGCATATACAGGGTAGAAAGGTCATCATCTAAAACCTAATAAATCTTATTTAAAGAAAGAGACTTATTCAAATCTCTGAGGGCAACATGTGGGACACCATGCCTGGGGAAAAATTATTAATTCTGTATTTATCAAAGCTCTTCAGTGGACTGAAAGAATATTCTGGTTTCAACAAAGCTTACTGATAAAAACGAGCTTATTGATACCATTCTCCACCTCCAATACTAATTTCTCAAGCTGTGGATTTGAAATTATTGACCATGATAAAGAAGAACCTGTAGTGAGAAGCCTGACACGACGTCTTAAATGGTACGGTGGTCTTGATAAGAGGACCAGAGTATAACCAGGGGCTAGTCTCTGTGAGCCTGCCAGGAACTGACAAAAATAGAAAAGAGCACAGCTGACACTGGCCCACGTTTACCTTATTTTCATAAACCGAAGAGCACCTTCAGTACCTCCAGTCATCATGAAATTATTTGCAGTTCACCAATTAGTTCTCAATGAAGATCATGTCAAGGGAGAAGGAACCTCCCTGTCCCCTTTCACGTTCAGTGATGCAGCATTGTTGCCTCTACTTACTATGGGAGATTGAGAAGCACACTACCACTTTCCAGGGACATACAGCTTCATGACCGTCCATATGAACACCATCCCCCTCCCCCCACTGTTATTTTGTGCACAATGCTCTCCAGTCTGTTTTATTGCTGTTCCACTTTGTGTAAGATAATTGAATCTTCATGGAGAAGCAAACAGAATCCAAATTTTTTTAACAAATGAAAGCCCTAATTAATATGCTATGAACTCATCCTTGCTCACCGGTTGAATAAATGCATAGGCAGAGCAGGCTCCATGTCACAAGATTCATCCCAAAATACTTGCTAGCAGAATCCCTAGGACACACCACTAACAGAGAGAGAGGTTCAGCTCTTCCCAGGGATGCGAAAAGGCTCAGAGCTGGAAATCCCGCGCCATGGCTTTGTGTACTGAACTCAGGAACAAAAGTGAGACAGGACTGTCATTGTTTTGGGTGAGGAATGTTAGGACTAGTCTTCATTGTCACTGCTTTGGCTCAAAGTGAGTCAATTAGTGTTTTTTTTCTTGGTTCTCCACTTTAGCAAAAGTAAGTGTCAAAAAGTAACTGGTTTTAATGCTTTGATTAAAAAATATATAAATTACTTGTTCCTCCCTTCCTGCTTAGTTATTCCTGCTGTCTTTTGACATTTAAGTGTAAGTCTTTGAACTTTATTCCACTTCATCATTGTGAGCTGTACCCTTCCTTTGTTTATTCCTTGACTTTGTTTCTCTTTCCTCTCAAGTAACAAGTAATTTGTCTGTGTTTAAAACAAAACAAAACAAAACCTCTAAATTCCTCCCCTGTGTTCCCCAGTAGTTTGTCTTCTGGACGTCTGTCAGCAGCAGCCTCATTGGGATTGTTTGGTTTATTTATTTAAAACATGTAAAACTATTCAGGAGTTTTAAAAATTACTATCATAATACTTCTAATGTGCTAATATTCCAAGGTTTTCAGTTATTTGAAGAACGGTGATGATTACCAAAAGTCACCAAATAGTGGAATATTAAGCCTATATTGCCATGACAACCTACAGAAGACAACACAAAGCCACTTTCACAAAGCAAGTTCTCAAGCAGAAACATAACACATTAATCCAGCTAAGCAGGTAAACACAAGTTTAAGAGACCAACCAGCCATTAAATTAAGTTACTTAGCATTTAACAGTGCTAATAACAGTGTTGCTGTCACTGGATCACCAGTATAGCATTTAAACCAAGATAAAATCTTGAAGCTGTCAGGGTTGTAATTAGGGCTTTGTGCTGTCTTAGAAAGTTTTTTCCTTCAGACAAAATGTATTCCAGAGCAAAGAGCCCATGCAGGTGTCTGGCATCCATAACTTTTCTGGCAAATCCAGTTTTAAAGATGGGTAATATATTCTTCATCTCCACTGAGGTAAGGCACACTCCTTCTTCATTATATCACTTAAAGATATTAAACATGAAGAATGAAAAAACATATCTGAGATATTAATTGGGATGACTACCATTAGAATCAAACATTAATGCATCAAAACTGGTATCCAGTTTTACAATGCCGCATTCAGGAATGCAGACAAATTTTATCCTCTAATTTTATGACAGGTTGTGATTTCCTATTCACAATACCTTAGATTTCAGGTGTAACTACAGTATTCATGTAGTCCAGTTCAGCTGTCACTCTGTCATGGAAATTGTTGGCATAATGGGCAGAAGTTTATATACACTCATGGTCTGTCTTCTCCTCATGGTCTGTCATCTGCTCTTGACCAGCTTTTTGACATCAAACTCCGTCTTACTGGAATTAAGGTCTTAATTTTCCTCCAATACCTCTGTTTTTTCTCCTTTCTCCACTACAAATAACAATTTTATGCTGTCCCACTCCCACCATAAAGGTTCAAAATATTAGCAGTCATTTCTTTATTTTGTTTTTCCTTTTCCTTATAAAAGATGGCAATGATATTACCCAGCATTGTTACCTTTTTCCTGTTCCCCCCTGAAAAATCTTCATCTTGTTTTTTCATTGAACAGAGCCCATTGTAGGAAGTACCATAACATGAAATCTTTTTAAGCCAACCTAATTCAATCTAGATAATGCTTCAAAAAGCTTTTCTATCCACATCTCTGCTTTCATTTCTTTATGCTCGCTACCTGAAGCCTTCATCTTGCCATTCCATTCAGTGTTTACTTACTTATATCTATACTCTCCCTGCATTGAGGTTCCACATTCACTTCTCAGTGCTTTTTCCATTTGTTTATTGCAAAACAACTTTCCTATTTAATATTACTCTCGTTAAAACAAAACAAAACAAAACCGAAAAAACTATCACTTACGAAAGATTATCAGAGTATTCTTGTAAGTAAAATAACATTTACAATGCCTCGGGTAGTGCATCAAGTCTGAATTACTTTTATTTATAGTTGCTCCCTAGTGCAAAACCCACTATGCAGAAGTGTGGTGTATTTGTTACAGTATTAAGGACATGATCAAATAAATAAGCAGTAACAGTACTGCATGGGTAGATTACCAGCTGACTGTGCTTCAGTCAGCTGTGCAGCATACTTATTCTCATCTCTCGCATTAGAGTGAGGGGAAAAGGTTTATCTGAGGCTGAGTTTTGTAACTATTCCGCAAAACCAATATAAGAAAGGGCTTTAAGTCAGACATTATGTTTTGATATATTGCAAAGATAAAATTAAAGCAGTTACAGTACTTAAAATGGATTTTGCTATTTCCCTTACCTTTTTCCACACTTCCTCCCTGAATTCACTGTAAATGACTGCAGGTGTTTAGTTTACATAGCAGCACCTAGGGTGTCAGCAATCAAAGTTTATATAAAAAACTTAACATACTTTAAGTGCTTTACAGATTCAAAGAAGGTTCAAAAATCTCATCCTTGAGATTTCTTCCAGATTCTGTCCTCAATTTTAAGTCATACTTTATAGATATAACTTTTCCTCTAAAACGTTACTTTTTTATTACACTTCTTTGGCCTCTTCACATTTTTATCCTTCTCATATCTTTTCTCAGCCTACCTCAGATTACAAAATATAATTTGAAAATTGCAACTAATCTATTTTGTTGCATCTCTAAATCCATCACTTATTTTGTACAGTATAGACCTATATGTGTGTTTAAGGTAATCATATGTAGGAGTACCCAGCATCTTTATTCAGCTACCTTTTTATTTTAAAGGACTCATGCCTGCTGCATTTCAACCTGTGTATTGTGCTACAAAGCATGGTGTAATTGGATTCACACGGTCAATAGCAGTAAGTATGTGTTTTTGGAAACAGTACCAGCAGCCTTGCTAAGCTTCTCATGTTCCCTCTCTATTGTCACACAACTGGAACTAATTTACTTAAAGAAAATTAAATATCTGAAGCAGAGGAGGTTCCTTCCTTTCACAAAGATAAAATAAGTCAGTCCTATGTGTTTATGACTGATCTGAGATTCTGAGAACATGGAGAAAAGATGTTGCAAAGTAATTTAAGGACAATGGGAGGAGCCCAAAAGTCAAAGTCTAATCCAAGTTTTAAAAATATTTTTTCATAACTCTATGCCGGTCATCTAACATTTTGGCTTCCGTATTTCTAAGTCAGGTCAATGACTTTTTAATGAGAAATAGGTGCTAGAACGTAGAGAAAATAACTTGAAATCAAAAATGTTTACCATTATTTATTCATACCAACTCTTAAAGCAGTGAAAATGCAACATGACATATTCAGGATGGGACATGTTTAATGTTATATGATCATACAGTAAGCCTTAGCCTCTGACTCCATAACTTTCTAGTTAATTTAAACAAGCAGGATGATAAAATAACCTGGAGGGAGCAAATATGACTACACTTTCACAGACTAAGCTTAAAAATAGCCTACTTATATAAGATTTCCAATCTAATTTAAAGAATAAACTAACCAAAATGATCATTTGGATGGTTTAGCCATATTTTATGCCCCTACCCCCATCCTAATAGATTCTTTTTTAGTTTAACCTAAACACATTAGAATGGATAAGTGTTGCATACAATACATTAGCCAGATCATGAACCCAGAACTTAGTTTTCTATTTTTGTTTTCTCATTATAAAATAAACACCACCATCTAAGTTCAAAAATAAAGGGTCTGCTAGAAAATTAGAGTAATTGCTGTCTCTATGGAACATGATAATGTCGATGAGAAAAAGAATAATAAACATAGCAAATCACTGTATTTACCAGGAAAGGCAGTACAGCCTAACGCTGGGCAGGTATGATAGAAAACATCTAGAACTTCAGTTTCTTTTCTCCTCCAGACCAAAAGGGCAGGCTACAATATAATGAAAATGATGTGATTTATGCAATACCAGAAAAGATTCCTGTTAAGTGTTAAAATAAATAGAACTCAGTGCTGAACACTTGTTATGATTTATCTTGGATGTATCATGTCTAATTTGTAAGTTCTGTGCCATCGCTGTTCATCCAGCATTCAACATATGCCTGGATGCTGATCAGACTTCTTTGCAATACACATGCATTGGTAGCACCACAAATGAAGTGTTCCACCATTCCTAGAACAATTTGTGCTGCTTGCTTTCATCATGTTCCTGAAGTGCTTCCTGAAAAAAACAATCCTGCTGCCTCTTTCCTGGAGTTTACAGGGACTTTCCTGTGGAGATGCTCAGTGATAGATTTGTCCCTTCGCATGGACAATAGAGCAGCCAGAAAGGTTCATCATCACAGTTCTTGGGTTACAGGCCAAATGCTATTTCTGTTTAAGTGATTTGTTTTTTTAGTTTGGTTTTTTGATAGTCTTTTTTTAATTTGATTTCAGATAGTTTTCTTCCAATAAGAAAGTTTTTATAAGAGTGGAAGCATACATTCTGAAGATTTTTATTGTTTTTTTTACTTCGTTTTGCTTAACAGATTTATATCATCGCCACAGAATACTGTTAATGACATGCCAATAGCACTAATAACAAAATAATAACAAAAATATTAGGGCAAAAAAAACCCAAACAACAACAACAGAAAAACTCAAAACACCCAAGCCAAAAAAAAAAACAAAACCAAAACAAACCCAAAACAGCTGCATAGGAAGAAGAGTGTTGATTTCTTCCAAAATTCCAAGCAAAACAGGTTTTCTTTTTCCTAGTAATCTAGTACATTACTAGAGAAAACATGCTTCAAACTTTGTTGTTGAAACAAGATTTGCTTACTAGGCAAGGGCTGAAAGTACTTAGTGGTAAGTATCATTCTTTGAAAAATTCCTTACACGATGCTGGTTTAAAATGTTGATGACAAATGCTTAACTTGTTGGGTTTTTTTTTTCCTAGTTAGCTGCTAATATGGAAAACTACGGTGTAAGACTCAACACAATTTGTCCAGGATTCGTCAACACACCAATTCTTCAGTCAATAGATAAAGAAGAGAATATGGGACAATATTATTCATATAAGGATGAGATCAAAAATATGATGCGATTCTATGGTGTGATGGAGTAAGTCAAGTCAGATACAGTGGTTTTTTTGCCCTTTGTTAATGAAGAACAAGCAGACAAAATTACAATTTCAGCAAACTGAAAATAAAAGGAAACACTGCTTCAGAAAAAAGCCTATCAAATGTGTTCTCTACACAAATGTTCTCTATACAAATTATAGATATCTAAGGCTATTTTAAGAGTACTGTCTACATAGCGATGCTTCCATTTACGCATTCCTATTTCTCAGCAAAGTGCAGATCAAATTCAAAAGTTAAAGGTGGTGGGTTTAGTTTTTAATAGCCCTTGGTGTACTTCCAGAATTTCATTTAACCAAACTTGTTGTGAGATACAGGGTATATAATTTCTATTGAATTTCCACAAAATTTAAATGAAAAAAAGTGACCCAAGATAGAAATCTGACCAAGAACTTAGAAAGCTGGACTAGGCTCACAAGAGGATAGTAGCAACAATGATGAATTGGATCAGAGTTACCCAGCCCATTATGGTACTGCAAACAAAGGCCAAAACCAGACAGCCAGGAAAACGTGTGAGAACAAGAACAGTAGTATAAAGGAGTATTTTTTTAAACACTTTCTCAGTCTCTAACAATTAGGTGCTCAGATACTTCTGCACAAAGGAAATTGTACGGTTGTGTTATTTCACCCACGCTTTTTTCATATGTGAAGTATATTGCACCTATTAATCACAGCAAACAGCATGTGAGGAAATTCTCCTTATGCTAATTTGCATGTCAGTCCCAGTACAGGAACAGGATAAATCAACATCAAAGAGCTGCAGAGGATTGTGTGAGGATTACTTCTGTCCACTGCCCTGAAAGAGAAAACTTTAATAGGATTCAAAAGGCAGCTGGATGTCCACAGGGATTTAGCAGTAACTAGAGCAAACGACAATTTGCAAAGCTGCTGCTGTTTTAAACTTTAAGTCCTGATTGATAAGATTGAATTTATCTCCTGAAATTCACCACCTCTGCTTGACTTGAAAATAAATTTGTTCAAATACAAGTTTATTTAATTTTCAGGACATAGAGATTTACATTGAGTTTCTATACTTGTCCTTTTCATATGTTCTATTACATGTTCTATTCTCAAATAATGATTTACTTTTTTTTTTTCAGCCCATCAAGAATAGCTGAGGGACTGATAACAATTATTGAAGATGATACTCTAAATGGAGAAGTTATGAAGATTACAGCATCCCAAGGGATTCATTTTCAACAATACAGCCAAACACCTTTTACATCAAAGAGATAAATAATTGGTTCACGCTGATTATTTTGGTCTTTTCTTAAATACAAAAAATTTTGAAGAGTAATTTTTGGGAAAAAATGGTTAGTGCTGTATCTAGAGCAGTGACTGTTCAAATGTTCACATCCTAATAACAAAGAGATGGACAATAAAATCTGGTGTGGGCAGATGTTAACATCTTATTTTAATACCATAAGCACTAATAATAGTATTTATTCAGTAGAATAAACACACTGCTCTGAAGATTTTTTTATTATATAATAATAGGGGCCAGTTTTTTTCCCTCTGGTAGTTCTGATCTACATACTCCAAGCATATTTTGGTGGACTTGACTTACTTCATATAATTCTTTTCACTCTCTTAAGTGTCTACTTATTTATGGATTGAATTCACAGAATCATAGAATAGTTAGGGTTGGAAAGGACCTGAAGATCATCAAGTTCCAACCCCGCCTGCCATGGGCAGGGACACCTCACTCTAAACCATATCACCCAAGGCCTCGTTCAACCTGGCCTTGAACACTGCGAGGGATGGAGCATTCACAACCTCCCTGGGCAACCTATTCCAGTGCCTCACCATCCTAACAGGAAAGAATTTCCTCCTTATATCCAATCTAAACTTCCCCTGTTTAAGTTTTAACCCATTACCCCTTGTCCTGTCACTACAGTCCCTAATGAAGAGTCCCTTCCCAGCATCCCTATAGGCCCCCTTCAGGTACTGGAAGGCTGCTATGAGGTCTCCACGCAGCCTTCTCTTCTCCAGGCTGAACAGCTCCAACTTTCTCAGCCTTTCTTCATATGGGAGGTGCTCCAGTCCCCTGATCATTCTCGTGGCCCCCCTCTGGACTTGCTCCAACAGTTCCATGTCCTTTTTACGTTGAGGACAGCAGAACTGCACACAATACTCCAAGTGAGGTCTCACAAGAGCAGAGTAAAGGGGGAGGATCACCTCCTTCAACCTGTTGGTCACACTCCTTTTGATGCAGCCCAGGATACGGTTGGCTTTCTGGGCTGCAAGCGCACACTGCCAGCTCACGTTCATTTTCTCATCAACCAGCACCCCCAAGTCCTTCTCCACAGGCCTGCTCTGAATCTCTTCCCTAATTCTTCAAACTGGGATTCAGTTCAGGAATCTAGAACACAAATATACCTATGAGTTAAGAATTTACTTTTTCTTATGAAATCTAAAACAGAACACAGGGCAAAATTTTCTTTCCTCCTTTATATATGCAACTGACTGTGTTGCATGACGCAAAAATATTACAGATTTTTATCTTCTTAGATTTTAGCTATTTATAAAACAGTTCAGTAATGTTTTTGTTTTCTTTTATAGATATACACATATGAATTTTCTCTTTCTGTATATACAAGGATGAATACTTTGGCATTGACTGAAATGTCTACTTACTCATTAAATCTGATTTTATAAAACTTTAAATCTAATTTCTTGCCTTGATTGATTAAAACCTCAATTAAATGCTGAATTATCTGATTTTTTCATATTCACCATATGCCCATTTTTGTATCATGATACATATTCTTAGATGCAACACGTCATATAGTGGCAATGAAAATAAAAAATGAGCTTCTACCTCCTGAACATCACTGGACCTTCTGAATCCCGGTCAATCCCCAGCTACATTTATGAAATAAACCTTGATACTCTATGGGTTACGTGCTTGGGAAAAATAAATTTACATGGTAATTTATTTAGCCTTATAGCATAACAAGATTTAATAATTCCTGGGAAAGCTGTCAACGTTTAATATTTATCCTCCTTAAGAGTACTAACTTCAATTTCACTCACAGGAGCACTGTTTTTTTCAGCATTGTAACTGAAAAAGAGGAGTCACTCATATTTACCTGCTATGGAAGTCAGGGAGTAGTAAGACTGTGGAGAAAAGAAAAGAAGCAGACAAACATACCATTAATTACTCATCATTCTCCCCCACCTCTATTTCTCATGATGTTAACACTATTTTTAATGCCTATCTTGAATGTATACAAGATGCTAGCTACACCACTGGTATCCCTGAAAGCATCTGTATATCCCTGTGGACTAAAAACTACTCTGTAATTTGATTGTATCAATTTCTACTTTCGTCTCATTAAAATCAGAGCTTTTCCTAATACATGACAGAAAAAATGATGTAAACTTAAAGTCAGCATGCTGCTTTAGTTAGGTTCTAGCATTGATAATTATCTACCTCTTCTCTTTGTTAGGCAGCATTTCAATGTAGTTTATAAACAAGGAAAGGTTTTATAATGACGACAATATACGCAAACCATGGTAACTAGCAAACACCACACTAAATTAGTAACTCTGAAGCTTCTCTTAACATACTTCAAATAACAATGAGAATGTAAATGTCAGTATGTATGTTGATGATACATTGTTGCCTTGAATGCTTGTTGTTTGTTACTCCTTGCTGCCCCAAAAGAAATATCTGTTAAACAGGGAGGGTTGAGTTTTCCAAGGGATCAATGAAAAAATACATAATAATGTCAGTAATAACAGACCTGTCTGGTGTATGCTCTCTGAAGGAAGAAAAACAAATACATTTAGAGTTAATTACAGCCAATCACTTTAGACATTGCACAAATAACTCATGGTGTTGCACCAGTACAAAAATCTAATTCTTGAATTGGCAGTATTCTAAGAATGGATTCCATTTATGTGGTATATTGATAATTACACAAGACAAAATCAAATTAATAAAATACGTAATTAGACTCCGGGACACCTGGAAAAATCTAAGCCTACTGGGAAAGAATTAAATCCATATCTTTCTTGTATATATAGGTCTTCTGAATTAGTTTTGCAACTCAAAGCCTCATTTTCAAATCAAAGCATTACAGAAAACTTCATGAACAGCAGATACTGCATTCTCTTCCATATGATAATCCGATAACGAAGTCTTAGAATGCAATACATGCTTGTTTGATCAAATAAGCATTTTTACTAAGATAAATCTCAAATTATTAGCACATGTGGAACTCACTGAAAGAAACAAGAAAGTAGCAAATTGTAATAGGAAAAATAGCTAACAAATTTCTACCTTTTAATTAAAAAAAAAAAAAAAAAAAAAGCCCCAAACCAAGTATCACAGTTTTTCAGTCTCATTTAGTCTGTACTAAAACACATCTGAGGGTTTTATCTTCACAGGAAGAACAAGTCCTAAATATGTTTTGGAAAGGTTTCCTGTAAGACTTCCCCCCAACCTTTGGAAGTCTTCCAGACAGCAAGAGAAGAGCATATGTTTGACTTACAGACAGAAACACCCAGACAAGCAGTAAGTAAAAAGATGAGTTAAAGGGAGAGAGCGAGTTTCACTTTTGTGCAAAGATTGTTCTGAAATTTTGTCTTCAGTTAAAAGTCTTGACATATTTCCAAGATGTAATTTATTTTGCCTGGGAGATCATTGCTTTTAAGAGGACTGTTCCAGTTTTGTAAAGAAACTCAGCCAAAAGGAAAAAATAAATATTTTAAATGAGATACACTTGTTGCCAAGAACATAAAATGACAAGTAATAATCTAGACTTATATAATGATCATTATTTGTAATGAACATTCAATCTCGTGATACAAGTTTACTTTTCACTGGATTCTTACAGTTTCAAATAGGACTCTTATAAGTAAAGAATAAATATTACCAGTGACGTCCATTTTTTCGTGCTTATGATCCTACATAAAGTCATAGGGCCCAAATCATAAGGCATTTCAACCACTTTGAGACATGACTGTTACTTTATTTGTATTATTTAACCCCTTGATTTAAGGAAATCTTTTTAAAAAAGTACATAACCATAGTCATCAACATAATTATGTGGATAACACACTATATCCTGTACAGTTCGGAAGGATCTGGAATTGACTTGTATTATGTGTATTATAAAATCATACGTGTATCAATTTAATTATTGAGGGGGAGATCCATGCCATAACAAGTCCTTCTTGTAGTTTCCTTAAATTAAGAAAGTCCTGATATGAAAGCCTAGATTTCTTGTTCTTGCTTGGAACACAAGCTTTTCAAGCAGCAAACCAAAAATAAACTTTAATGAAACCAAAATCTGGCTTCCACTGAAATCTTGAATGTGAGCCTAATCTTTAAAGGAACAGCATTATTTATCTAATGCAATGGCATTTGGGCAGGATGGGGCTCTTCTGACAGATAATGATTTCCTTCCTCCAGTGTTGAAACTTTCTACAGGATGATTCTCCAGCTTGAACTTCCCTTTTAGCTAAGTCTATTTGCTTTGTGTCAAGAGATGTTGACAGTTTTCAGCTCCAGAAGTCCAGATGGTTCAATGAAAGTGAAGGATAATACCACATGACTTAGATTATTAATTTTTATCCCTCCAGTACAAAAAGCAACAGCTTAATGTCAGGTCAAATTTATAATTCAAACTGAGAGGGACAGTAAATAAGAAAATTATGCTCATGCTCTGAAGGAGACAGTAAACAGGAAGAGAACAGGTCAAGTAAAAATATATAAGATGCAAAAAGGTAAAACCTAAAACATCTTTAAAATAAGTAACTTAACCCCATGGTTTGTGTGGAAGGCCATTATTATGAACTGGATGAAACTTAAACTTGAATGCTCCCTGACTCGTATACAGACAGTCTCGAAAATTCAGAAGATAAAAAAAAAAGGATCTTCAGAGCAAAAATTAATCTTAATGAAAAATATTTAATTTATTTCAAGCAGGCATCCTTTAAGCAGTTATTTATTCAGCTCTTTTTATTCTTCCACAAGCTCTGTGCTAATTCACTGCTGGCATCTGCTGGGCAAACCTTACAGACTATTACCACTACAGAGGCACAATTAATTTCTTGCTGCTGAACAGCACTTTTTCAGCTTTCACGTTCATCACAGCATTCCCAGCCCTTTTGCTTTCACACAGAAGAGAAGCCACACAGGACACGATGATCATCTGGTGACTGCTCTGATATCTAGCCCAGGCTTTCTGGATGGTTTAAGGCTCTAGATTTAGCCTCATGAAGGAGATAATTATTTAGTGACAGCCCAGAAGAATGCAAAATATCTTCTGAATCTCTTACATATCACTCTGATCTTGACACTGCCTTCTCTGCATCTTTCCTTTGGACCACCTTAAACACAGGCATTTCGGCAGTGAACTACACTCCAGCTGCACGAAAACACAACTGTACCTCTTCAGCAGTCACCAATAACACATTCACTTAAGACATTACCCATTTCACTGACTTCAGACAAACTGTAAGGCCAGTCTATTAGCTCACATGATGCTCCACTCTGCAGAAGTGGCTCCAGGTATCTCAGTAGCATTTTTATCTTTTCAGTGAGAGCTTTTCCTAGCAGCCACAACCATGAGAAACTAAAGAAAGAAGAATAGGAAATAAGGCTCTCAGTTACTCAGTTTGAACCCTCCACTAGAGGACATGAGACTAAGCACACTTCTGCTTGCTTTCAAAAAGAAAAGCACAAAGAGAACTTTGAGCGCACTTTCCCACAGCTGCAAACAAAACCCACAGAAGAGAAGAGGAAATAAAGATATTTTTGGAACATAGGAATGTAACACTCTTCAGAAAAATAGTTGCATTTCAGCTCATCTAGCCATTCCTATTTACAAAAATGACTAACATTTCAGAATCCTGTACAGTGTTTGACCTTGAAGACATATTTCTGCAATTAAGACCACAAAAAATTAACCTCATATACACATGAATGCTGCAGTTCTCAAGAAAGACCCACAGATGGGCAGAGAATACTGAAATCTCTGCAACTTATTCTGGAACAGCTCTTACAAACGTGAATCAGCTTCCTTGTACAAAATCCTTCTGGCAATTTCACTTCAAACAGATATAGTGTTCCTTTATGGAGCTTTTTTTCTGCTTTGCATTTGTAAGGCTTTTTAAATACACTGCCCTCAGCAATGCTTACAAATTAGCTGACACTTATCAAAACTATTGCTGTTGTTTTGATTTAGGAGAGTTTGCTTCCAAGGAGAGTTTCTTAGAACATTTTACCATGAAAATATGCTAGGAGTATAAATTAAAATATTACAGGGTGCCAACAAAGATCTGTGGGGCCTGTTTGACAGACACAGGGACTAAAAACATATTGGACTTTTTAAACTGAATTTTCAATTAATAATAATTTGAAAAGCAATCACAGTTGTTTAAATAAACTAAACGTGTTTAATTTCTGTAAATTTCAAGAACTGGTGCTACATTTACACCAAAATATTTGTGTTCTAAAATTAAATGGAACTTCAGCACTGAAGCATTAGTCATTTTGCAGAAATGTCTGTATGTAAAATAATATTTGAAAATGCACACTCAGCTTCATGGAAATTCTTAGAACCTATCAACTTCAGTGAGACTGAAATCAGTGTACAAGTCAACAGAATCAGATCCTACCTCTGTGTCATAGACAAAAAGTTGTGAGACAGCATATAGCAGTGAGGCATTAACTGCATACAGGTCCTAAAGGTGTGGAGCTTTCCTAC